CTTGCTGGGGCCTGTCTACCTTTTAGGAGCTCCCTGGCTGGGTGGGGGAGGAGCAGGGAGACACCTATGTCTATGTCCTCTGTGAAAGGGAAGATCTGATATTCATTAACTAACATGTGTTGAGCATCTACTGTGTGCCAGGAACACTGTGATAAACAAGGGAGGCCAGGCCCTGCTGTCACCATTTGTATTAGTTAGCTTTCAGTTGATATAACAAAATACCAAGATAATCAACCGAATGAGGGAAGAGTTTATTTTGGCTTGTGGTTTCCGAGGTCTCCATCCATTGTCACTTGACTGTGTTGCCTTTGGTTCTATGGTAGCATAGTTTATCATGGCAGGACTTAGAGGAGGAATCTTCTCACTTTTTGGTGGCTGGAAAGCAGAGAAGAAGGGGCTGAGGTCCTGCTATGTCCCTCAGGGGCACACTCCCCAGTAACCATTTTCTCACTAGGCTCCACCACCTCCCAGGAGCACCCTGGGCTGGGGAGCAAGCCTGTGACACATAGGCCTTTAGGGGACATTTTCAGATCCAAACTGTAGTACCCACCTTTCATGGCTATGGAGGGGAAATCCAAGACAGATAAGCAATGATGCATAATCAGTGATGGCAATAGTCTCGATTTGATGATAAAAGCTCTGAAGAAATAACTGGGAGCTGTTGGAGAAGGTGGGAGATCTACTTGAGAAAGTGGGAAGAGAAAGTCTCCTAGAGAACATGCTCTTGAGCAGAGATAGGGCTGAGGAGAGAGGAGCCTACTGTGTGAGGAGCTGGAGGACCATTTGGGTGGAGAGAACAGCAAGGGCAGAGCTCTTCATTGGTAACTAGCTGGGCACATTGAAGGAGCTGGAAGCAGCTTGTGTGACTAAAATATGCATAATGAGCTGGAGCCGTGGGAGCCCAGGTGCTGAGGTGGCACAACCTGGACTTTAGGGTTCGTGACAAAAAAGTGTGGCTTTTTATTCTGAATGTAGGGAGAGGCCACCAGAGTGTTCCGCATGTGGCATGACATGATGCGATTGTAGCACTCTTTTGTTTGTCTTTTTGGTGCTGGGGATTGAGCCCAGGTCAGTGCACATGATAAGTGTATACTCCGCCATTGAGTGAAACCCTCAGTGCTCCTGGGGGGTTTAAAAAAATAATTTAAAAACTTTTAATTATACCATCATAAAAGAATGAATGTTTACAGTTTTATGAAGATATCAGTGGTTTATTTTAAAACTACACCTAATTAATGTATATAGTTTGGTGAGTTTGAACATATCCATGATGCCATCACTACTGTCAAGGTAATGAACATACCTGTCACTTTTGAGAATTTGCTTGTGGTCCGTGTGTGTGTGTGTGTGTGTGTGTGTGTGTGTTTGTGTGTGTGTGTGTATTTTTTGAGGTACTCACAGACAAACCGAGGGGTGCTTTATTACTGAACTAGACACATAACCCTTTTTATTTTATATTTTGAGACAAGGTCATACTATGTTGCCCAGACTAGCTTTGAACTTGTGATCCTCCTGCTTCACCTCCTGAATAGGTGAGATCATAAGCATGTGTGCCACTGTGCCCAGTGGGTAGTTATATTTGTAATTTTTTTAGTGTTTAGTATTTTAAGGAGCTGCTACACTGTTTTCTGTAGTGATTGCGCCACTATGAAATGGTTCCCACCAGCATTGTGCAAGGGTTATACTCTCTCCACATTCCCTTCTAACACATGTGAGCTGATATCTCATTGTAGTTTTGATTTACATTTTCCTGATAATTAGTGATGTTGGGCATTTTCACATATCATGTGCCATTCGTATATTGTCTTTGAAGAAATGTTCAGGTCCTTTGCCTTCTTTTAATATTTATTTATTTGCCACTAAGTTGCAGGAGTTCCTTATATATTTTGGAAATTAACTCCTTATCAGTTATATGGTTTGCAAGTATTCTCTCCCAATCTGTGGCTTCTTTTTCACTGCTAATTATTTCTTTTGCTGTGTAGAATCTTTTTAGTTTGATATAGTCTCACTGTTTTTTTTTTTATTGGCTGTACTTTTAGTATAGCCATGAAATCATTGCCACTGTGTGAATCAGACCACTGTGTGAGGCTTTCCCCTGTGTTTTCTTCTAAGAGTTTTATAGTTTCAGGTTTTTTGTACAGTCAGTCCATCTTGAGTTGATTTTATGTATGACGTAAGAGGTCTAATTTGATGTAGGGGTCCAGTTTCATGCTTTTATGCGTGGATATTCTATTTTCCTAGCACCATTTGTTGGAGAGAGTCCTTTGTTTTTCTTGATGCCCTTGTCAAAGATCAGTTGGCGTGTGTGCGTGTGTGTGTGTGTGTGTGTGTGTGTGAGAGAGAGAGAGAGAGAGAGAGAGAGAGAGAGAGAAGGACAGAGAGAGACAGATACAGACACAGACACAGAGAGAAAGACAGTATTTCTGACCTCTCTATTTGGTTTCATTAGTCTGTAAGTCTATTATTACCATTTTAAAGTATACCATTCATGATTTATTAAAAGACCTCTCTGGTTGCCAAGTGGGCATTAACTGCAGTGGGCAAGAAGGGACAGAGGCTAGTTAGGCGACACTGTGGGATCCAGGTGAGAGGTGGGGGTGGCTCAGATGGCCTCGGCAGTGATTGTGGACATAGCAGTTCCAGGAGAGAACTGCAGAGTTTTCTGGAGGTTTAGAGATGAGAGTACCAGAAATGTCTTGTAAGAAAGCTTTGGAATCCTGAAGGAGAGACAGAACATCTTTGGAGGAGGGTCTTCCATTGGTGAAGGCCCCAAGATAAGAACCACCAGGCTCTGTGGAGTTGTAGAGAAGAGCTGAGTTGGACAACAGTCCAAGGTAAGTGCGCGGTATGGCATGGCTGAGCCCAGGACTGAGCAGTTGTCTAATGCGGTGGTGCTGTAGTCTCAATGTTGGTGTCTCACATGAATCTCTTGGAACCCAAAACCTGATGTGATGTTGTTAAGAAGTGAGGCTTTGCCAGAGTAAATTGTGAGGGCTCCATCTTTATGAACAGGATTAGTGTTCTTATAAAAGAGGTTTGATGGAGCTCTCTTGCCCCTCTCACATCTGAGGTACACCGAGAAGGCCCCATCTTTGAAGCAGAGGGTGAGCCCTGACCAGACACTGAATCTGCGGGTACCTTGATCTTGATCGTGGACTCTAGAATTCAGCCTTTAGAATTGTAAGCAGTAAATTGCTACTGTTTCTGAATTACTCAGTCTAAGGTATGTTGTTTCAGGAACCTAAAGATCTAAGACAGAGGAAAAGGAGGAGCGGTAGGCCTGAGATGAGGAGCACAGCCTGAACTGACACTGCCTGGTGTGTCCTGGAAGTTAGAAGATTCACTGTGCTGACCTAGTAAGTGTGGTTGGTGACAGCTGCCTGGCAGGGCTGTGAGGAGCCTTGGAGAAGGAGAGCACTGACAGTGCTCCCGGCTCAGAGCTGGTGTTGATAAATGTGACATTAAGTGTAAGAAAGAGTGAAGTGTTTGGGGCAGGGAGTGACCAGTCCTAGTTGAGCCCTTGGAAGCTGTCTGGAATACATGGAAGGATGAGCTCTGGGGACGATTAGGGCAGGGCTCCTGGGGACAGAGGCAGAGCTTCTCCCAGGAACACTGCACGAATCTGCGCTGCCTGACTGGGCAGCTATGAATTTGAGAAATAAGAGCCTAGAGGCAAAATCCAAGATGTTTCTGTGGTTTTGACTTCATATTCTAAGGTTCTGGAGAGAGGAAGACAAAGGCTGTGCTGGCAGAAACAGGGAAGTCAGGGCACAGCTGGCTGCTGAGAGTCTGTTAAGGGCTCACCACAGATGGGCAGGTGCTACGAGGCAGCCCCCCAGGTGGCCTCCAGGCCAGCTGGCAGGCAGGTAAGTGGACAGTCAAGGAGCCAAGGGAAAGTTTTCTAGGAGGGAGAGACTCGAGTTTACTTTATCAGGTGGTGTGGAAGTGAGCCCGGCCAGAGGAACTGGGTGGGTACAAGGGCTTCCTCTGTTTGCCCCTCCACCAGCTCTGTGCCAGGAGAGGCAGCAGATCTGTGTTCCATGCCTCTTCCGAGCCAGTCAGCAGCACTGGCTGCACCTGAAGGACAGGAGAGTAACCTCCATCGAGGCCTTTCTTTCCCCAGATGACCCCCCACATCTCCATATCTGGTTGTTTCTCTATTTAAAGCACAGCTTCTGCTCCTTCTGGTCTCCAACTGCTTCCTCCCCTGTTCCCTGTAAGCCTAGGGGTGACATGAATCCTGGCCCTGGTGTTTTGCGGCTTCCCTGTTGCTTCTTCAAACCCTGCCCATGTCCTTGTTGTGGTTTTCTCAGCTGTCTTCAGTTTTCCAGGTGGGTGTCTCAAGCAGAGTCACGGTATACGTCACATGCCCAGAACCAGGACTTAATAAATATGGCTCAGGTTGCATTAGTCTAAATAATTATGAAAGCCTCTGGTTCCTTCCTACACTATAGTTTTTATTGTGACTTCGTTACTGTGCAAGAGACCCATGTGAACTGTTCCCAAAGAAAGGGCTCTTTTGGGATTTTGTTTCCATCTCCTTTTCACCCTGCCTTAGCTCATCTAGTCTTAATTTTTTGACGTGAAGCCACATGATAGGTAAGGAAATAGCTTCTGATTAGTGGCCATCCAGCTCTTTGGTGTGCTGACTTCTTGGAGACAGAAGGACGTCACTGACCAGTGATTCTGAGTGATTAGTGTCAATATGACAGCCTTTCTTTATGATCTATTTCATGTTTGTGATGGGCCTCCACCTCCACATCTTACTCCAGATTGAGCAGTGCTGTGGTTCATGATGTACGAATGTTCTTTCCCATTAAATTTTGTTTGATCACATCTTGGTTCTCCTTTTCTTCTAGTGATGTCTGCAGTTGAGACCAGTGAGTTTGGTTTACTGTTTTTATTCTTATGCTCTATGGAAATATGACCTTTTTCTCACTTACCAGGAAAGAATTTAAGGCTATTGACATGATTTTTTTTTTTTCATCTTGAAACCACAGGAAATACTCATCTTTGAAGCTTTTCCTGTGGCCTCCTCAAAAGTCTGGAATTTCCTTGGCTGCTTCCTAACCAGATTTGTATCTTACCGTTTCCATAGTAAGTATGAGACTCCCCGGGTACTTTTATTCTGTGTAGAGACCCAGCATCACAGAACACAGAAAGAATCCTTTCTCTCCACCAGAGTCCCTCACCCTCAGCACTGTGGACATCTTAGGCCAGTTGCTTCTTTGCCATGGGGCTGCACTTTGGGTTACAAGATGTCTAGCAGCATCTCTAGTTTCTACCCAGTAGCACCCAAGGTGTGAGCACCACAGTGCCTCCACACTTGGCCGTGTGTACCTTCGGGACAGAATCACCCGGGGCTTAGAACCACTACCATCAAAGAGGCCAGAAACAAACTCAACACATGTTCCAACAAGCTCTAGCTAGATATTTTCAACATGTTGTTCACTTACGTTCTATTTCCTGCCGAGTCCCATGGTAATTGTGCTATGTGCACATTCTTATTTTGTTAGTTCTCAGACTTGAATGCTTTAGCTTTCCGCTTCCTAATGCTTATTGTACTTGCAGAGAGACCTGAATGCCCTCTCCCACTCTCGAGACTCCTCATTATTTTTGATCAGCTGGAATGGTTCCCCAATCGCCTTCCAGTTTTCTTGCCATAAAAGGGAAATAAAGCTGAGGCCCCAAGATAACCCCAGCGGAGGCTGTGAAGGCTGAGATTCAGTAGCAGAACAACATGTTTCCAGGGTGTAGGAGGCAGATGCATGGACTCCGACTTTCCTTGTGCCCAAGCACCTCACTGTGTTCCTAAATGTGTCCCCTCTACCCCTTTCCTCCCTTGTCTCTTCTACTTTATGCTGCACGATTTATGAGTTGCAGTTTAAATCTAAATCTTACTCTATTTTGGGCACTAAAGAAGCCTAAGAAGAAAATAAAATGTTTGAACTTTTAAAGAAAGCACCCCTGGGAAGACCCTCTTTCTGTCCTTACCCCTCTACCTGTCACCCTGTCTTGGGAATAGGTTTCTAGATATAATGGATTTCTTTCTCTTTTTTTGGTAATATGTTTCTTGATTTGATCTTTTATGATGTTTATGAGATATTGAGACATTAGAGTCAGGCATGGTGGTGCATGCTTGCAGTCCTAGCACTCAAGAGGTGGAGGCAGGAGGATCGCCGCAAGGTTGAGACCAGCCTGGGCTACATAGTGAGTTCAAGGCCAGCCTGAACTACATAGTGCGACCCTGTCTCAAAAATAAATAAATAAATAAATAATTTAAAAATTAAAAAAAAGAAATTGGGGAATTAGGATTAGAAACCTCTTTTTCCACTGTCTCAAACTTGGCCAGAGCCCATCTATTTATTTTATATTAATTCATATCCATAAGAAAAGTGTTACTCAGCAAGCATTCCCACCTGTGTTTATCTTTTGCAGCCCAGATATGTTAAAACCAGTTGTAATGACTGTAAGGTATCTTCCCTCGGTGTTTATTTCCCTCTCTACTTTCTGCCTTTCATGTTTCCAAGTTAAAATAAGCTATTATGGGTACAAAAGGAATACTTTCCTCAAATCTGGTATGTATGCCTCCTGCTCTGAATATATTTAATTAATCTGTCACTCTGTGTTGTCCAGTTAATAAAGCAGAGCAACCCTCTGTTTAACACAATTAAGTTTTTTCTTTTTTCTTTTTCTGGAAGGCAGCTCATATTTGTTCAGAGCCTTCTGTGTGCCCAGCATTTGAGAAATATGTTCTCCTTTAATCTTTGTGGATTTTTGTAGTCACTGTTCATAATCTCAGCTTCTTGGTGAAGATGTTGAAAATTGTAATATTCAAAAAGAGTGTCTGAGCTCACACAATCAGCAGTGGAGCTGGTTCTGGACCAGGGGCCTTTGATCCACAAACCCTCCACTGCCCTACGTGAGTAAAGATTATTCAGGCAGGCCGTGTTTACCCCTAGTGTCTATGCATACAGGTTTGAGAGCCAATTTAAACTGATTTGAATCTTGGCTCCAGATAAAGTCTGTGATTTGGGGAAATTATTAACCTTTCTAAGTCATATAAAGTTTCTACATCTGTCAAATGGGAGCATCTTAGTCCTTTCAGGTTGCTGTACGAGAAATAACAAACTTCGTGGTTTATAAACAATAGAAACTTACTGATCACCTCTGTGGGGGCTGAGAAGTCAAAAATCAAGGTACGGGCAGGTTCAGGGGTGTCTGGTGTGGGCTCGCTCTCTAGTTCATAGATGGTGCCCTCTCTCTGTGGCCTCACTTGGTGGAAGGGTAAGACAAACTTCCTCAGGCTGCCCTCTTAGCCAAATCAGGTTCCTGATGCCCACTTTCCAGCAGTACCACCTTGGGGACTAGTTCTCAACACTGAAATGGAGCGGGGGGAAACAGACTACAACAAGGAGCGACACTGTAGTAAGGATTTAACAAACCATCCATATAGACCATTTAGAAGTGTCTCACAGGCCAGAGTGGGCCTGTGCATCTGCTTTCATGTCACTGCAGTGTTCACACTAGTTCTTTGTATCAGAGAGGTAGGTTGAGGGTGGTGGCTGAGGGCAGAAGCAGTAGGTGGGTAGTAGGTTCAGTGGAAGCCTTTAGACAGATAGGAATGGGCCCATGGGCCACTTGCTCCCCTTCCAGCTGGGGCCTCCTGCAGCAGACAGAGGGCAGGGCCACATGGGCTGGGCACCCCAAGGAACTAGCTCAGAAGAGACATTTCTCTCTAGGTCTGTTCCAGAAGGGAGAGAGAGCAGCCTCCAGAAGACCCCAGGGGATTTAGAGGACATTAGGTGGGGCTGGTGGTAGAGGACAAGGTGATACTGAATAAGGTTTAAGACATGAATGCTGGGGAGTAGAAAGCAAGGCTGTTGTTCCTGCTGACGGAGCATAGGGAGCAGCCCTCTTGCTCATGTACGAGTTCCCACTCCTCTTCTGCATTGACCCTGCAGAACCTGTCACTACTGCGTGGTGGGCGGCCTGAGGCTGCCCTGGGCTCCTCCTCTTGGGCCCGTCCTCTGCTTGTAGACACCTCTTCGTGGTCATGGTGAGCAGGACATGAGTGACTTCGTTGTGGAGCATCATGAGTTCTGAAGGAAGCAGGGGCTGGAAGCGAAGCAGACTTCTGGTGGATGGGTACAAAGGAGACTGGTTGGGGAAGAGATAACCGTGGGAGAGAAGTGTGCAGGATTCTCAGAGACAGCAGTGCCAGAGACAAAAGGTGTCCACATAAGAGGAAGCCAGTGCAGACAACTCAGAGTGATTGCGTTCAGAAAGTGCTGGGACAGTAGAAAAAGAGGAGTGATATGACAAATGAAGTGACCGGGGACCCTCACTTCAGAACAAGTGGTACTTCTGTCTCAGTTACTTTTCTGTCCTTCCTGAGACAAAATACCTGACACCCATAATTAAGGAAGGCAGGGTTTATTTAGCTCGCAGTTTGTGGAGGTTTCAGTCCATACTCGGCTGTCTCCAAGGCAGGGTGGCACATGGCAGAGGGCAACAGTTCATGGCGGTGGAAGACAGCAAAAGCAGCAAGAGCAAAAGGGAGGAGCTGCAGAGAGCAAGCCTCTCTCCCTCCCTTACACTGTATGCAAACTACCCACCCCAGGGCAGGTGTAGCACTCACACCCCTAATCCCAGCACTGGGCCGTGTATCAATCATAAACTCTAGAAGCTGCCCCATGATTGCAGGGGGCTTTGGTGGAGGGACATGCAGACACAAAGCATAACAACTTCAGGCTTTGAGAAATGGTTGAGTGTTATTCATTTGTTCAGGTGCACTGTCCAGAAGATCATGAGATCTGTTGCCAGAGACTAAAAAAAGGAGTTTACATCTTTGATGTGTGTGTGTGTGTGTGTGTGTGTGTGTGTGTGTGTGTGTGTGTATGTATTACTGAGGATTAGAGCCAGGGAACACTGAACTACATTCCTAGCCCTTTTTATTTTTTACTCTGAGATAGGGTTTCACTAAATTGCCCAATCTGACCTTGAACTTGCACTCCTCCTTGAACTTTCAGCCTCCCAAGTAGCTGGAATTACAGGCATGGACCATCCCCACCAGATCTTTAAATTTTGACTCAGATTTCCTCCCTTCCTCCCTTCCTTCTCTCCCTTGCTTTCTCCCTCCTTCCTTTTTTTCTGGCTTTGAATCCTAAAATATTAAGAAAAAGATTGGCAAAGAAAATGTCCTGTTGTTCTATATCTTCATATTTTTATCTTTTTAGAGGAGAGTAATAAAACGTATTTTACTTTAGGCATAACCTGGGAAGATTTTGGGAAATATGGGCTCATTGCAGAATCACCTTATGTTTTCATAAAGTAAACCCTACAATAGTCATTTTTAAGTAGTTCTAACCATGACATAAACATGTATTTTATTTAAATGATCTCCATGAGTCAGACTGACATATTACTGGTTGTCTCTGTAGTCACTGGTAAAATTCATCACAAATTCTCTTCAATGTGTTAGTTCATTTTGTACTAGAAATGAGTTCTAAAGAAATTAGTTACTTGCACAGGTCTTAACCTAGACATTCTTTCACTGTTGCTGTGGAAACCAGCAATAAAAAATTGTGACTTGAGAAAGAAAAATAATCAGTGCTAAACATCAGTAAAATATAAGAGAAGCTCTCTTTTTATACAGAATTTTTTAAAGTCATGATACCTGGAACCAAACAGACGAATAAGGTTCTGAATGAATCACAGGGCTGAAATCATACACAGTTTTTGTCAGGAACAGTATGGACAATAAATCACAAGTCTTCTTTTAAATAATGGATTCCGTTTTGTTTTTTTTTTTTTTTTTAATGCGGGAAATGGAGCCCAGAGCCTTGCACATGCAGTATTGAGTAAGGGCTCTACCACTGAGCTGCAACCCTTTAAGAGAATAAATGGTAAAGCCTTTAAAACCTTTAAAAGAATATTTTCATTAGTCGCCACGTTCACATAGCTGCTGCTACCACAGGCTACACGGAGTGTACCAGGTAGACACTTGGACACATGCCCCAAGCTAATCACTTTCTTTAAATTGGAAAAGGGACTAGATAGTTCTTGAAGAAGGAGACATTGTCAGTTGAAATGGTTTCTTCCAGCCAGGAAAGGAGACAGGAAGGTGAGGCAGTGGCAGCCTGAGCCAGGCTTGGGAGCTGCCTGGGGGTTTTTTCTTGCGTGGCTGTGTAGGGATACAGTGGGGAAGAGGAGGCCCAGGGTGCGTAGCACCAGCTGCCACCCCAAGAGAGTTCATTAGACTCTGTGCCTGGAGAGAAAGGCTGATGGAACTGGTGATTACCTGTGGGTGACCCTCGTTTTTAAAGTGCATTTTTGGTATTCTCTGAGTACTGGTTAGTGTGTCCTGTGAGTCCAGGGGCACAGGCAGAGGTCGGGTTGGAACTGGACGTGAGACCTTTAACCCAGTCTTGCTACATTGCTGACAGAACAGGGGCTCAGAGAGGGAAAGGCTGGCTGGCCACTCCTCATTCAGGAATGACAGTGCTGATCACTGATGGAAAAACCCAGGCCAGCCCACCCATGTGGGTTCCCCGCAAGGTCTTTAGCTACATCCTGCTACTTTGAACAGTTTTTTCTTCATAACATATTTTAGTTAGGAGACTAACTTTACCATATAATGTCAGGTCTGACCAATGAAAATGTGCTTTATTAATTTTTGAATAATACCTATTTTTATCTAAAAGAAGAAAAGAGTCATTTTCTACTTTTGTGAAATCAGACTTTCAAGTAATTCATATGTGTCTATTTAAAAACTTGGTAGATTGCTCCTTTGCCAGCCTAAAGCTGGAAAGCTTATGGATATTTTATGCCTTGACTCAAGCTGCCCTGTGTTATATGGATGTGAGGGGTGTGTATGTGTATGTGTGTGTGTGTGTGTTGTGTAACACTGTGTTATGTGTCCCTGAGCTATTATTTTGCTGAAAAGTAATTTGAGAATATCAATAATATTGCACATGTTTTAATAAATCGGTAAAGTCTGTCTTAGAGTTGTAAAGCTGGTACAAAGGTGTCGTCTTAGGGCAGAGGACTCTATTTCCAGCCAGATCATAAGTGCTCATTCTCTCTGGGGATGTAGACCAGTGATAGAGCATTTGCCTGACACATACCAACTCCTGGGTTCTATTGCCAATACTGCAAAAGAGAAAGTAAACCGGGGTACAGTATGTATTCATTTTTTGATAGCAGTGGTGAGTATGGTAGAGGGAGGTAAAACCTTCTGTTGCCACTAAGCAGGTTCAAGTTGTGTGGACAAGTTTTCCTTTTCTAATCCTCTACAGAAAGAGAGCCCCTGAGGACAAACATGAGGAGTGCAGCCAAGCCCTGGAGCCCAGTGGTCAAAGCGGGGACCCATGGCTGTGACAGAGCCCGGCCCCTCCCTGCAGCCTCTTCCGGCATGAAGAGTTCCAAGTCTTCAACCTCCTTGGCTTTTGAGTCCCGGCTCAGCAAGGTATTGGCTGAGATGCCCAGGGCAGGGCTATGTGGCATCCTTAGGGCCCTGGGTTGGCAGGATTGAAGGGGGCAGTCATCAAGCCAGTGGCCTTTCAGGGTGGGGAAGGCTCCTAAGGAGGGGCCCCAGGCAGCCAGCCTGTCTTGACCTAAGGGAACAGAGCAGGTGGCTCCACTGTAGAAGCTCTGGAGTCAAGAAAGGAAGTCTTATGGAATATTTAACACAGTGATCGAAGTTATCTTCCCTGGACTGTGTGGACATTCCAGCATCTCCCTGGATGCGGGGGCAAGTCATGCATAAGCTTTTTGACCTGCTAATCCAGTTGTCTTCTGCATCCTCACCTTGCTCATCCTATGTCCCTCCTACTCCTCATCCCCTGGGTCTCTCTCCATAAGTGTTCCAGCTTTAGGCTGGCAAAGGAGTGTTACATGGGCCAGCCGTAGTGCCTAGACTCATCTCTTTCCAGCTCCATTCATTCTTATGTCCAGTGTTCGCTCTGTGCCTCAGGGACAGCTCCTTTGCTGTCCTGAGATGAAATTCAGGCCATATCGCCATACCAGGCAAAGACATTTGAGAAATCAACACAAGATCTTGACTCAGGTGAAAGGAAAGTATTAAATTTCATGTGTTTCCTGCCAGTGGCTGAACGTGACTGCAAAAGACTCAAGGTGCTCCTGAGAGTGCCAAAGACATGACTGTGACCTTGCAGCCTGCCTCAGGCTTGTGCTATTGATGACATGTGATTGTTGTGAAGTGATAAACGCTCTTGCAAAGTGCAGTCCTGCCTTAATTATGGTGTATTAGAAGGCTCAGCGTATCTTAGGGTTGTACAACTGTATTTTGTCTTTATGTCTAAAATGAAGGTAATAAAAAGATGTTCCAGCCAGACATGGTGGCACATGCTGATAGTCCAAGCATTATGGGAGGCTGACGCAGGAGTATGGCAGGTTTGAGCCCAGTCTGGGCAACTTAGCAACTTAGGGAGATATTGTCTCAAAATTTTAAAAAGAAAGAGATTAAAATGGGCTGGTGATGTGCTCTGTGAAGGCTTTAGAATCAACCCCTGGTACTGGGGGTAAAGAGTCCCACCTATGTATATATTTTCAGAGTCTGTGAAAACTATGTGGGTAGTGGGGCTTTTTTGTGAAAAAGGCATTGTGTATATTGTAGAGCATCTAGATTTGAAATCATATCACCCATTACATATCAGTAGGAATCCAACCACAGTAGCATCCAAAAATGTATGGTACATTTCCAACACACTCTGGGAGGGACAGCAGTGTCTATCATTTTTCAGGTGACAGTGTCTGTTCTCATGGCTTTTAATACTACATGTGGAGAATGTCTACATTTGTACCTTTAGCCAGGACCCTCCCACTACCTTTGTAACCCCTTAGATGTCTAGATGCTGCTTACAGTGTAAGTTGTTCAAACTGGACCCTGATTTCTTCCCTTCCATATCCCTCATTCCTAATCCTGCTCTGCCTGAACCTTCCCCTTTAATAACTAGGAATGACATCCTCTTGGTTGCTCAGGCCAGAGCCCCTGGCTTTGTTCTTAAGACCTCTCTTTCCTTCCTTCCTCCCTTCCTTCTTTCTTTCCTTCCTTCCTTCCTTCTTTTTTCTTTTCTTCTTTCTTTTTTCTTTTTCTTTCTTTCTTTCTTTCTTTCTTTCTTTCTTTCTTTCTTTCTTTCTTTCTTTCTTTCTTTCTTTCCTTCCTTCCTTCCTTCCTTCCTTCCTTCCTTCCTTCCTTCCTTCTTCTTTCCTCACTTCCCTTCCTTCCCCTTTTCTTTCTGTGATGCTGACTTGAACCCAGGATCTCACACATGTGAGTGGTCCACCACTGAGCTACATCCCCAGCCCTTGGTTGCTTGTTTGTTTATTATGTTGAGGCAGGCTTCACTAAGTCTCCAGGCAGCTAGGCTGGGCTCCATTTGCAAGCAGCCCTTTTGTCTCAGCCTCCAAGAGTATTGGGATCACAGGCGGGTGCCGCCACACCCAGCTCCTTTCCGCCTTTTCTCAGGTCCCACTGTGCATCAGTGAAATGCTATCACTTTTGTCTTAAAAATATGTCAGTTGCAACCCTTTCCCGTGGCCTCCCCATGACCTGTCTCCATGCCTCCACCTTTCCTTACTCTGCCTTCCCAGACCACCTCGCTGCTTTCGTCTTTGTGCTCTACATTGTTCTCAGCACAATTCAGAGTACTCCTTCTAACACATCAGTCCTGTCATTTTTCTGCTTGAAACCCTTTCGTGCTGTCTCCACTCAGTGTGAAGTGGCTACTAATACCCTCAAGACCTGACCCCATTCCATCTTGGACATTGTCACACTCTTCTGTTCCCTGGCTCCCAGAGCTCTGTCCAAAAGGTTTCCTGGTGACTGCGATGACTGTCCCGTGGTGTGCTAAGCGTGTTTGTGTTGACTGTCCTCTCTGCGTGGATGTGTGTGTGTGCGCGCTCGCTCACGTGCACCTGCTGGTATCAGAGATGTCATCCTTGTCTGCTAGCCAAAGTGCCCCTGGTCTCCATCTACCCTCCTTACCCTGCCTTAGGTTGCTCTCAGTGTTTATACCAGCGTGCGCGCACACGCACACACACTTTTGTTCCTTTAGTGTCTCTCTCGTCATGGCTGGAATGTAAGCCTCAGTAGGACAAGAACTCTCTGGGTTTTTGTTGTCCATAGTTCTAACCCTTGCCCTTAGAAAAGTACCTGCTACCTGCAGGGCACTCAGTGTTTATGAATGCCCAAATTCCCCTGTTTTCCTGGGGGTGGCAGTGTGATGGTGAAGGAGGAGCCTGAAGTCAGTCAGACCAGCCTGAAGTGGAAGATCTGAAGTACAGGGTATTTTGTAAGCAAATGAGATGTTGACCATGTCCACCCTCAGTAGGCTGGTGTTTTGGAAACATGCTCTACAGGGAAACTGTCAGGGAAAAGTAAGTATTCATATTAGAGGCTTCACTCTGCTTTCGCATTCTTGGCTCTCATGGCTTGATTGCAGAGTGAGAATGCCAGGGATCAAGGGAAGGAGCAGCAGAAGGAACTGGTCCATGCCTGCCCTGTCTAGCCTTCATCTTGTTCCTCTATTCTGACCATCTCCTTTCCACCTGTGGTTGTACAGGAAGAAGACTTAAGAGTCCAGATAATAGATAAAGAAAAGAGGAAATGCTAACAGATAAGGAAAAGAGGAAATGCTGATGGTCAGAAAAGCAAGTAGCTCTCCTTTCTCCAATAGTTTACTGTGGAAATTGCCAGCAGAAAGAGTAGTTGAATTACACAACAGACACCCATGTACCACCTGGACTTGACAGTCAGCATTTTATTCTATTTGCTTTAGTTTATAGGAAATGAATACATATATTTTAACTGGTAAAAAATAGGAAAATTAAAACAAGTCACCAAAAGTAGAACTAAATTCTCAACTTAAAATACTGACTGAATAGCAACCATTGTTAATTTCTTATCATCTTGTTTTGAAATTCTGCATTGTTTTTGTGTTCTCTTGTTTTTATCTTTGTTGTTGTTTTGTTTTCTTTTCTCTTTAAAAAAAGTACTGACTGAGCTGTAGGAACAGTCAGAGAACAAGAAGCCAGGAGACATAGGAACCCAGACAGGCTGAGCTGTTGGCGAAATCTTCCTCATGAATTATAAAGACACCTGGAGTGCTCTGGTTTGAACAGGCCACCCCATCCTGGCCACTTAGAAGGCCCAGGACCGTGAGTCAGGTTGTAGGTTGTTATAATAGGAAGCATACCCAAGACTTGCGTATTAGGGGCTCAATCCTCAAGCAGCAGGGTTCAGAGATGGGCCAAGAGAAGTAACTGGACTTGAGGGGTCTAACCTCTCCCGGGATTAATCCTTTGATGATTTCATAGCTGAAGGGGTCAGGAGATGAGGCCCAGTTGGAGGAGGATGTCAGTGAGGGTGGGCCTTCGCAGGGCTCATCCTGGCTCTGCCCACTTCTTCTCTCTCTCTCTCTCCCGACTGCCATGTGGTGAGCAGCTTTCCTCTGCTGTGCCCTTATGCCATGATGTTTCTGCCTTACCACAGGCTCAGAAAGCACCGAGCTAACGTGACTAACACCTCTGAAGCTGTGAGCCAGAACAACCCTTTCCGCCACCAAGTTGTTTGTATCAGATGTTTTGTCTCAGTGGTGAAAAAACTAACACACAAATGATGGGACATTGGCTTGAGCTTGTTCAGCTGACAAGAGATTCGTTCATCTCTCACTATTCACAGAAGACTGGTTTCAGGATTCTTCAGGACACCAAAAGCCATGGTTTTTTTAAGTTTCTTATATATAGTGGTACAGTATTTGCATATAACCTATATACCTCCTCTCACATACTTGAAATAATCTCTAGGTCATTTATAATATCTAATACAATATAAATGGTTTGTAAATAGTTGCTTTACTATACTACTTAGGAAATAATGTCAAGGAAAAAAGTCTATACATATTTAGTACAGTTGGAATTTTTAAAAATATTTTTGGTCAGAGTTGGTTGAACCTACGGATATAAACCTGTGGTTACTGACAACTGATTGTATAATGAACATTAAGATCTGAAGGTCTCCATGTTACTATGAGCACAAGGGTTCAGTACCTCTCTCTTTCTCTTTCTCTCTGCTCTCTGCCTGCCTCTGCCCCTTGAATTCTCTGTTGCATGGTGACCCCCAGGCTTCTCCAACGCATGTATGAATTGTGGTGCCCATCGTGCTGAACCTCCTGCATCTCTTGGAAGGCCTAGCCACTTTTTTGCCCTTTTCTTCATTTGTTTAAAAAAAATCAGAAGGGCTGTGAGGAGCTCTGCACCCATAGGCCTGTGTTCATCTGTGTAAGAGGAGAATACCAGTACTTAGGAGGTTGAGTCAGGAGGACTGCTGTAAGGTCAAGGTCAGCCTGAACTACATAGTAATTTCAATGAAGTCTGAACTACATAGCAAGATCCTGTTTCAAAAAACAAAAACAAAAACAAACAAACAAAAAAGAGACAAAGACC